AGAATTGTATGCCGAAACCGGTTTGGCTCAGTGGATAGAGCATCGGCCTGCAGACTGAAAGGTCCCGGGTTTGATTCCGGTCAAGGGCATGTACCTGGGTTGCGGACACATCCCCAGTAGGGGGTGTGCAGGAGGCAGCTGATCGATGTTTCTCTCTCTTCGATGTTTCTAACTCTCTATCTCTCTCCCTTCCTCTCTATAAAAAATCAATAAAATATATTTTTTTTAAAAAGAATTATAGAGAAAAAAATAATGTTGGTACCTTTGTAGATACTAGTTTCTAGTCCTGTTGACTGTCTTTGAGGTTTTGTCATATACTGTAAACAGGACTGGATCCTGTCTTCTCCTCTCCTCAAAGATCTGGCTATGACTGGCTCCCAAGTGCACTCCAGACAGTGGAATTATCCTGCTCCCAGTAATCATAGTAATCATCCTAGCACACTGTAGTCTCTCAAAGGCTTTAAGTGCATGTTCTCAGTGGCTCACCACCAACAGATGATCTTCCTAAGCCTGGAACATCAAAAAAGAAATGAAGAGAATAACCAACTTAAAAATGAACCTGAAAAAAAAAAAGAAAAGCAAGGGATGTACTGAAAAACAAAAATAGACAAATTCCTATCTTTGTGAAGTGTAGTCTAATTTTAAAGCCAGATATTAAATGATGCAAAAATATAAAAAGTATAATTATTTATAATAAAATAGTTTTCTATGAAAATTTAAAGTAGGAGGTTAGGTAAGGTGTCCTGGAGAAGTGAAAGCAGAAGCAAGATTTAAAGATTAGGTGGGTGGAGAGGAAGAGGAGAGGGTTAAGGGGTGTTCCCTGCAAATAAAGGATGTGAAAAGGCCTTTGGCTGGCTTGAAGATTAAGGAACTGAAACAATGATAATATGGCATCAAATTATGTTACCATATAAGGCTAGAGAGGTAGGTCAGATCTAGGTCACAAAAGGTTTTTGTGGGCCTTGTTCGAGATCTTCATCTGTATCCATTGGGATAAATTGACTAATGGGAATCCACTGAAGAATAAAACAGAAACAAAAAAACAAACAAACAAAATGAACCTGAAGTCATGATCTGCGAATACCATAGAGAATCAGAAGAAGAAAAAAAATCATACAGAGGATCAGTAAAAGCTGTGAGAACTACAGAATAGTGGTCGCTGAGAATGTGCAAATGCCCTAAGTTTTAATCACATCTCTCAGGCTGAGACTCTGAGCAAAATGGGTGAAATTGTTTAAATAAATAAACAGACAGACAGACACAAAATAGAGTCACTTGTCCCTGAACAGCAAATCAAGATTTTATTGTAGTTTCCATCTCTCCCAGGTTCGTGACCTTTAACCAGTCAATATGGCATTTCCTGATTAGCACTACTGAGTTGATCTGCATGATAGACCCCCTGCCCTTTCCCCAAAGGAAGGTGACTTGCTTGTCCACCCCCTTCTAGCCATTAGAAACTTTGTGCTTCCCACAGCTCCTCAGAGATCTCTTCTGTTTGCTGGGTGGGATGCTGCCCGATTGGTGAATTATTTAATAAAGTCAGTTAGAGTCTTCAAATTTACTCTTGAATTTTTGGGTTTTTTTTTAACATGTCCTTCATGACATTAACATTTTTTTAAGAAAAGCAGTTATGGCTCATGAAATATATTTGACATATAACACTGTAAATTTAAGGCATACATGTTAATTTAATACATTTACATATAATATGATTGCCATTGTAGCAATAATTAGCTCCTCTGTCACTGCATAATTATTTAATTTTGGTGGTTGGCATAATTAAGTTGTAGTCTCTTAGCAAGCTTGACGATTGTACTACAGTATTATTGTCTATATTCACTATACTCTGTGCTAGATCTCTATGACTTACTTGCTACTTGTTGCAAGTTTGTACCCTTAAACCACCCCCCCACCCCCGTTTCTTGTGATTCTTGATGTGCTTATGATTTCTTGTTTTTGTGGCCTTATTTAGGTACCACATTTATGTGAAGTATGCAGAATAGTTAAGTCCATGAAGACAGAAAACAGATTGGTGTTGCAGGCACTGGAGGAGGGAGGAAAACTGCGTAAATGGCTATGTGTTTCCTTCTGGGATGATGAAAATGTTTTGGAACTAGATAGAGGTGGTGGTTGTACAACATTATAGATTTTCTAGATCCCTTTGAATCGTTTACTTCAGAATGGTTATTTTTATGTTATGTGAATTTCACCTAAAATTAACTTTAAAAAATCCCAGTGTGTAAATGGTTTTGCTGCACTCCCATATACAGACCACAGATTTCTCAGCAAATAGAAATTCCATTAAAAAATATATTGTATGACAATTGCAGTGATTTCTAATGATTAAAATAATAAATAGGAATTGCAAAATGATTTTTGGTGGCAGAATTGATATGCAGAAGAATCTATTATATTCCCATCATTAAATATTTAAAGTTTAATGTATTATGTACAATTTTGCACTTTGAAAAATTCCCATGTTTGGAATGGATGTGAAAAGACAAAAATCCAATTTGAATGAATTTTTAATATTAAATAACAGTTTTTCTAAGAACAAAAAATTTAGTTCATTAATTTAAACATTAACTACAGTAGGTTAAAACTCTAAGTCGAGGTAAGAATCTGGATCACTTCTGAATGTGTGTAGTCCAGGTTTTCCTATTATTTACTTTTTACCTTCAAGCTAAACTCCCACATGGAGCTCACTTCACTGTTTACTAGATGGGAACTTCTTTCTTTTCTTTTTTAAAAAAAGTTTATCTTTAATTCTCACCTGAGGATGTATTTTTATTGATGAGAGAGAGAGAGAGAGAGAGAGAGAGAGAGAGAGAGAGAGAGAGAGAGAGAATGAATCATCATTGCTGTGAGAAAGAAACCTCAATTGGTTACCTCCTGTACGTGCCCCAACTGGGGATCAAACCCACAACTTAGGTATGTGTTCTGACCAGGAATCTAACAACCATTTTGTATACAGATGATGCTCCAACTAACTGAGCCACCTGGCCAGTGCTACCTTGTTTCTTAACCTCTCAATTCCTTTCTCTCATAAGTGGGAGATACATACCTTGCCACACTTGTGTGGATTAGAAGATGGGCAAATGTTTAGCACACTATAATAGATACCTAAGAGTAGCAATGATGATTATCCAAGGATTTAAGAGTATTGTCAGGAAAAGTAAGTCTTGGCTTACTGTAATGTTACTCTTTTGCAACCATTACAGTCTATAGAAACATAAATGTATTTTGAAAAATATTTTTCACACGTATAAAGTTAAGCTTTCTAAATCTGTTTTTGAAAACTGATGTACATGCAGTTCTATAATATGTCTCTCAGCCATGGTGTATAGTGGAACCTCAGTTCTCAAACTTAATTCGTCCCAGATGCTGCTTGAGAAGCAATTTGTTTGAAAACCAAATCATTTTCCCCATTAGAAAATATTCACAGCACAATTCCCTGAGATGCTAACAACGCAAGGTTTAGCAGTAAACTGATTCATATTCTTGAATCTGGTCATACAGGTAACACCATGAAAGGGTTATCCAATGGAGAAACGAAGTTTTGTTTGACAACTGAGACATTTTTTCCATGAACAAATTGGTCGAGAACTGAATTATTTGAGATGGGAGATGTCTGAGGACTGAAGTCTGACTGTATTTGCTTTGTGTTTCGCAGGTGAAAGAAAAGATGTTGTCCCGGCTAAGAGTAGTTGCCACTCCTTGTTCTCTGGCATGCCGGCGTGTACACACAAAAGAGAAGGGCAAGCCCCTCATGCTGAACCCAAGAACAAACAAGGTTAGTAACACGACTAGTGACGGACCTTTTCTCTTATCTCAATGACAGTTTGATTTATATATTTTAGGCTGATAAAGTGAAACTTTTCTGTTTTGTAGCTTTACAATAAAACTATTCAGAGGTATTTGCTTTTTCTGCATGAACTTTTCACGTTTCTCCATATGGCAAGAATCATGGCTGCTTTATATCTCTCAACTCACAACTTCTACCACCAGGAAAGACTGACTATTTCCTAGTCCTAGCTCAGAAAAACCCACAGAATAGCAGTCTGGCCAGGACTTTTGATGTGGGATACTTAGATTTACCCAGTTTAGATCAAGCACTCATCCTGGACCAATCAGTTGGGCCCTTGTAAGATGGGGTCAGAATTGTAAAATGAAATTTTATGTAGCATCTGCCCCACCTTCACACAGCTTTTTGACACAAATCATTACAAGCAAGTGATTGTGCCCATTAATCACACTCCTGCTTCAAAAGACAGAGACCTCTCACACTCTTTACATTCTTGGGGCAGAGATGATGGCAATATTGAGATCTAGTTGTGACTTTATTCCTTAGCCATGCTGGGTTCCGTGGGCATTCCCTCTCCATATTTCAGGAACAATTGTTAGTAAATGAAATAGTAAGTAAATAATTCTGGAATGAGATTTTTTACAGGAAGCTTGCAAGAGGGATACATAGGTTTATTCCAATATATGAAATTTTCCTTTTAAGAATGGTGCGTTGGTATTAAGGTGTGGTTTATTTTAAAACAACAGTAAGAAATTTGCCAGTCCCATATGTTTTCTCTTATGGGGTGGAGGGACAGTAATTGGATAGTATGATATGTTTTGAGGGGTTTGGGGTCTACAAAGGGAAATTTGACTAAGGGTCACACAGAGCACTTTATCTCTGCATTTTTGGTACCTGGCTAGAATGAAAATTGAGCAAGCAGTTAGTGAAGTAAATGAAGCTTAATGAGGCATATTCTAATCCTCTCGTTTCTGCCGCCTCTCCACACATCTTACTTGCTCTTCAAGATGCAACTCATTGAGAATCCAGCTCTGTAGAGCCTTTGCACACCCCATAGACTGGGATAACTGCTCCCTTCTCTAAACCCTGTAGCAGTGCCTATCTTCCTCTTCTGTGGCACATCATCTGGATGTTGGCTTTGTGCTTCTTTTCATGTCATAAGCTGCTGTTGAAATAATTGATAGTATTTACATTTTCATGACTTTGTATTTTTTAACTATATTCCAGGTTCTTCTTGAGCAGGGACCATTCAAAATTTCTTCATATCTTTTATAACTCCATGGGCATAGTAAACATTTGATAAATATGTTGGTTTTCTTTTATTATAGAAACTATATAAACCTACTTTGTGGGGGTTTTAAGGAATTTATAAAGTATGTTGCAGGGAATGAATTTTAAGGAGGAAGATAGTCTAAATGCATTACAGTACCTCTATAAAGAAAAGAACTTCTAATACTCTGGCCTTCTGAAATCTCTGCAGTGGAATAGCATCTATACGGTTACCTCATTGAAGGACCACTCCTGGAAATCTCTTAAGCATCAGGAAGAGTTTTTTTGTTGTGGTTGTATATTTAAGGAGGAACATAGACTAGTGATTCCCATTTTAAGGGTCATGAACTCCTTGGGGACTTACCACGTAAAGAAGGCAGGTTCATGCGTCAAACCTTGTAGACTAAATGACTTTTTAAATGTTTATAAGTACTGTTTTAAGAGTATGTTGCTGCTGTGATTAATAAGCTAGTAATTAAAGGCAATACTGAATTCTTAATCCTTTTTATTATTATTTTGTTGTTGAGAGTATTACTGATGTCTCCTGTTTTCTCCCTTTTTTGTCCCCCTCCACCAAATGTGTATCTGCAATCACTGTCTACTTAAGGTATACCTGTTATTATTTTGTAAAACTTTTTTATTATGGTAAATTGAACATGATTTTAAAATATGCAATTCAGTGACATTAAGTATATTCAGTATTGTGCATATGTTGCCACTATCAATTTCCAAAACTTTTTACTATCGAAATGGAAACCCAGTACAAATTAAGCAGTCTCTCCCCCACTCTCCCTTCCCTCCTTAGCCCTGGCAACCACTACTTATTTTCTGTTTGTATGAATTTGAATATGAAATTTTTAATATTTTTTAGAAGTCCTTCTACTTTAAAGGATTGGACATCATTATGGTGCAGACTAGATGCTAATTTGAGCTCTGCCATTTACTAGCCAAGAAACTTAGGAAAGTCATTTAAACCTAAGTTTCAGTTTTCTCACCTAAATAATGTAGTAATAATAGCATTTTGAAACATTTAAAGGGCTGTACAAGTGTAAGATTGGATTTCTCCTTCTCTCTCCATGCTCATTTGACTGACCTTCCTATTATTTTTTTGAAATTGAGCTCTTCATCTTTTCCTATGGGAAGTTTTCACTTCCTAATTTGTTTCTGGAGCTCTGGTTTTATGGTTCTCAGTTTTGAGGGTTTTTGTTTGTTTTTAATTTCCCAATCTAGTTCTCTGAGAAAAACTAAATATTTCTTGTGATTCTAACTATTTACACAAATAGTGTTATGACAGATAAAAAATGGAAAATCATATTTTACCATGCTAATGTGTCATCTTTTTTATTTTGCCATGATCCACTTAAAATTGCTTTTAAAACTGTAGTTTGCAGTTTTACAGGCCATTTTCCAGCACTTTGAACATGTCAGCCCACTGCCTTATGGCTGTCATGATTTCTGGTAAGAAACTAGCTTGTATGCAGGCATATAAGCATAACCAATGGACACAGACACCAGTGGGGTGAGGGCATGAGTGGGGGTGGGGGCGGGCAATTGGGGGTAAGGACACATATGTAACACCGTAATAAGGAAAAAAAAGAGAAGCTAGCTGTTTCTCTTCCTAAGAATTCCCTGTTTGCCTATTGAGTCTTTTCTGCTTTCAATTTTCTCCTTTTGTGTTTGTCTTTTGTCAGTTTGATGTGTCTAGGGGTAGATCTCTGAATTTTTTTCTCATTGGAGATGTTGCATCCTTGGATGTGTGGGTTAATGTTTCTGATCAGATTTGAAAAGTTTTTAGCCCATTATTTCTTAGATATTCTTTTTCTCCCTTGGCTTTCTAGGACTCGTGTTTTTCAAATGTTGGTGCTCTTGATAGTATCCCACAGGTCTCTGAGGCTCTGTTCATACTTAATCATTGTGTGTGTTTTTTCCTCAGACTGGATAATCTCAGATCTGTCTTAAAAAATTTGTTGATTCTTTCATCTGTTTCAGAGAGTAAGGGAGAGGAAGAGAGAGATAAAAACCAATCAATATGAGAGCGAATCATTGATCAGCTGCCTCCTGTGTGCCCCCTACTGGGGATCAAGCCCCAACCTGGGCATGTGCCCTGACTGGGAATCTAACCATGACCACCTGGTTCAGAGGTCGATGCTCAACCACTGAGCCATACCAGCCGGGCCCTCTAGTGAATTTTTAAATTTCAGTTATTTACTTTCAACTCCAGAATTTCTGTTTAGCTCCTTTTTTATATTTTTTGTCTCTTTACTGACATTCCGAATAAGTCTTCCATTATTTGCCAAGTGGCTCTGTGTAACATGTTGGGACATTGGCTTTAGTACTTAGCCAACTACTTTACAACTATGTCTCAGCCCTCACTTTCTGTGTATGCAGAGCCTCAAGGTTAGCCAGAGGTGGAGTTTAGAGCCTTCTCAAGTCTTTTCTGGGTATGAAAGCAGTTCATGCACATGACTTCTAGATTCTCAGGAATAAGTCCAAGGTTTTCAAAGCTCCTCCATAGACATTAGTTCCTCAGCTTTTCCTTTTCCACTTTTTGGTTAGTCTGTTGTTTGCTTCATTTGTTACTCCCCAAGGTAGGGATTTGCCATGTTATATAATTGTCTCTTATTGTTTTTAACAAGCTCTTCTGAGGAAAAGGCTATTCACTCTGGGTGAGCTCCAAATCAAGTCAAATAAAGACAGTCTTGCAAAAGGGTTCTTCCAGGGAACCACCCGTCAGGTCAAAGAATGACAGAGGCCTGGGGTTTTAAAAAAATCTCTAACCCCTTCCACCCTCTCCAGTGGCTGTCAGGCTCTGGTCTTCAAAGTGATTATTACACAGTGATTGCTATTTTCTTTTTTTAAAGATTATTTCTTTTAAAAATATATATGTTTTTATTGATTTTTAGAGAGAGGGGAAGGGAGAGAGATAGAAACATCGATGAGAAACATCATTGATCGGCTGCCTCCTGCACGCCCCCTACTGGGGATGGAGCCTGCAACCAGGGCATGAGCCCTGATTGGGAGTCCAACTGGTGACCTCTTGGTTCCTGGGTCGGTGCTCAACCACTGAGCCACACTGGCCAGACGGTGATTGCTATTTTCAAGGCTGCTGTGGAGTTGGTGAGGAGAGAGTAAATGAGGCAAGTTAAAAAGGCACAAAGCTTGCTATTCTTGATGAAATTCAGCAGTTTTTCTTGAATAAATGCTCCCTATTGTTAAAGTCTTTGGTTTATTTCTAGAATTCTGAAAAAGTTTATTCTGATCAGTTGGCCAGTGTTCGTATTTTATGGACGAAATGATTTTTGGGAGTCCTTAGTCTGGCGTTTTCACTGGCATCTCTTTGATTCAAAGAATTTAACCCATAACTGAATACCAGAAATTGCAAAAGATTTTCTTAGAACATGGGTTAATTTTTTCTTAAGTATCATTACTTCCTTCCTCCTTCTACTCAGCCTCACTCCTTTCTAGTTGGGGTAACCTATTTTTCCAGTTTGTTTTATGTTCTTTCAAACCATATTTTGTTGATTTCATTTCTAATGTATGATGCATCTGTGTGTATGTACTTTATGGGGGTTTTCTAAACATTGCAGTTTACAGTAAGTGCGTTTTGATGTGCAACTTGCCTTTTTTTTCCCCGCTCTTAACTGCATGTTGGGAGATCTTTCTATGACACACAGAGATATACATTTAAGTGTGATGGTATTTCATGATATCAAAATACCATGGGTTCCCTAACTGTTCCATAATTGATGGTGTTTTAGTTTGTAATAGACAAGAGAGCTTGAAATAGTGCTAGAACAAATCTCTTTGTATATGCCTCTTTATGTATGAATATTTACCTAGGATGGCTGTCCAGAAGTAGAATTGCAGTATTGTAGAGTATGTGTATTTAAAATGTTAAGATTACTTTATAATTGTCTTCCCAAAAGCCTAAATGAGTTTACATTTCCAGCATGTATGTGAGAGTATCTGTTTTATCACACCGTCTCCAATACTAGATATGACCAATCTTACACATTTTTGACAATCTGGGCAAAAATATCTCACTTATTTTTAAATATATATATATATGTTTAAATTATATATTCTGGGACATCACTACTGCTACCCCAGTAAGTAAGGGCAAAAATATCTCACTTATTTTTAAATATATATATATATATGTTTAAATTATATATTCTGGGACATCACTACTGCTACCCCAGTAAGTAATAATTTTTAATATTTTTTTACTCCTTTTTTTTTAGGGGATGGCATTTACATTACGAGAACGACAAATGCTTGGTCTTCAAGGACTTCTACCTCCCAAAATAGAGACACAAGATATTCAAGCCTTACGATTCCATAGAAATGTGAAAAAATTAAATTGCCCTTTGGAAAAGTAAGAATTGCTTAGATGTTTAGTTTTTATTGATGGTATGACCAAAAATATTGGGAGTATTGTGGTTATTATGGCATGAGAAACATACAGTTTCATAATGGAGTTTGTGTTGTAGTCCATTCCTGTTATTTTTATAATGATCATGTATTTTTCATTGCAGTGAATGCTTCACTTGTTTTCCCTATTGTAAAATTTAGGGAGAAGGGGGTCCTAATATATGGTGGCAGGAGAAGATTTGATTTTAGGTGGTAGGCACACGGTGCAATATACAAATCTTGTAACAGAAACCCACACCTGAAACCTGTATGTTCATGTTAACCAATGTCACCCCAATAAATTTAATAAAAAATAAATAACCCCCAATGAAATATCCTTTAAAAAAAAAGTAGCAGAAATCAGTTTTTTATGCTCAAAATCACAGAGCATTTCAAGTTCGAATGGAATATTAGAAGCAAAGCTATCATCTAATTTTCATCCAGTCTGTTCAATAACTTTTATTGATCATCTACTTTGTGTGTGTCACTATACTGGCCACTGAGGATATAAAGTTGGTAATATTCAATCCAGGACACTTTAGGGAGTGGAAAAGAGGAGTAACTGAACTTGCTGAGGCAAACGAAATGTATGTCCTCTACAATAATGCACAACCCTTCCTTCTAGGAGCTCATCAGTAGATAGTTGTGTTTATGTCTGAACCATACCAGACAGGCAACATTTCTGCCTTTTATTTCATAAAACTATTCAGTCATTACAGCCCAATTATTTGTTTTCTTCCCTGTGTTGAGAAGAAATCTCCTTCCCTTTAATATCTACCTATTGGTATTATTTCTGCCCATGGTAACTATATAGAAAATATTACTCCTCTTCTTTTTTTTTCTTTGCCTTGAGTGCAAGGAACTCAAATTATAAGAGAAAGTTTATTTAGAAAGTCACAGAGGTTAAAAAAAAAAAGGGGGGGTGAGCCAGCTGGGCTGCGTGGGCTCAGAAAGGATTTACAGAAACAAAAAATTGGCCCTTGGAGCTTAGGAAAAGGAAAGGCAGAGAGAATATACCTGGGGGAAGAAGAGGAGAGGGGTGGGTGTGCTCCAAAGAGAGAGAGCTTGCCCTGGGGAAAGAAGAGGGTGGGGAAAGGCATGGGCTTGCTCAAGAGAGAGAGAGAAAGAACATGTTTATTTTTCTTATTTTTTTAAAATATATTTTATTGATTTTTTTACAGAGAGGAAGGGAGAGGGATAGAGAGTTAGAAACATCGATGAGAGAGAAACATCCATCAGCTGCCTCCTGCATGCTCCCCACTGGGGATGTCCCCGCAACCAAGATACATGCCCTTGACCAGAATCGAACCTGGGACCCTTGAGTCCGCAGGCCGATGCTCTATTCACTGAGCCAAACCGGTTAGGGCAATTTTTCCTCTTCTAAATGGAATCTGTCCTCCCTATTTATACACTGAAAATTAGCACATCAGTTATATTCCACATACTTTGCTAGTTCCTGGAATTGTGGAAGTTTATCAGGTGATAGTCCCTAACTCATTACCTCATATAGGCTGGAGGGGAGACAGAAAGTGGAGTGAGTTACAGAAGAGAAGTAGGTTGTTTTGGGACCTGAAAACAGGAAACCTAATGTGACTATATGTGTCATGGGGATTGGGAAGAGGCAGAACAGGAACCGAGAGAGCCTTCCACCCTGAGCTGCTTTCGGAGAGCATGAGTATAGGGCTGTGCACGAGTATAGGGTTTTCCAGGCAAAGGGTTCCCCGAAAGTAGCAACTCCCAAGGTAAGAGTTGTGATGCATTGAGGAACTGAAGTAAATTCATTATGAAGATAAGGGTGAGAAGTAGTTAGAGGTCTTGATAACTATTTTAGGAGCTTAAACCTATTTAATCATTTTTGGAGCTTAAGCCTATTTAATTTTTGTTGATTTTTACTCCTGGGTGTTAAATAATGATAATTTAGGGATTTGCTTTCTGGGAGGGAATTGGCCCTCTATTTTAGATGGCTACATTTACTTTCAGAGGACAAAACTTGGAATGTATTACTGGCTGATGTAGATATTATTTACTGTGCTTATTTTCAGATACATCTATATAATGGGAATACAAGAAAGAAATGAAAAGTTGTTTTATAGAATACTGCAAGATGATATCGAAAATCTGTTGCCAATTGTATATACACCAACAGTTGGTCTTGCCTGCTCCCAATATGGACACATCTTTAGAAGACCTAAGTAAGGCTTATTTTTAAAAATAGATATTTGAAAATGATTATTATGTAGGAGAAATATCACTCGTGACACTTATTACATTTCTGTTTTATTTGTTGCAGTCTTATCTTAACCACATTTCTCACCTCACAAAAGCTTAATTTGGACCTTAGTAAAAACCCAACACATTTGTTTCTTTCATTTTTATAGAAATAGTATCATTCTTTCTTAACTTTCTTTAAATTATTATTGTTAGAGGGACTGTGCATTTTCGTACCAAAAGAAAAGGTACTCTTTTTTTTTTTCATGGTAGCAGATTCTCCAGAATTATCATTAATGTTTTTGACAGTCTGGCCAAATTAAAAGATTGATTCTCATTTTTTTTTTGTCAGCATTCATTTTTGTCATTTGTTGTTTTTATGGATGTTTATAAAGTTTTAATTTCACATAGTTCCAGCACTTCCAGTTATTTTAAGTGGAAAAAGACTGGAATGGGTCTTGACTCAGGTCTTTGAATAAGTGACCTTATCCTTCTGAATCTGTTTTCTCATCATAAAATAGTGATACCAGCACCTGCCAGAGAGCTGCTGAGAAGGTCAGATGAGGAAACTGGTGTGACTGCCAGTTGTTTGTAAACTTCTAAGCATTATATAAATGCTATTTTTACTTAATTTGAGTTTTCTTGTCTTGTTCTTCTATTATTTTCCTCAATCCTTGTATGTTTCCCATATCTTACTTGCATATTGACACAAATGTAGAAATTCAAACAAAATGTGATAGCATTTCTCTTCAATCTCCCCTCATCTAGTTTAGTGGCTTTCAGCATTAATGTGCATAACACACCTGTGGGACTCACTTGAAATGTTGATCCCTGCCAACTCTTCTCCTTTTAATTCCCAAGAGTCTGAAGACAAAGAGAAAGGTCTGGAAGTGTGGATTTAATGAGCGCCATGGGTGGTGGTGGTCAGGTATCACTGGAAGACTCTTTGAGAACACTGTTCTGTGTGCTGCCATCAGTTAGTGGGTCTGAAACATTTCTGTGATATTACCCGGCTTTTCAGCTCTTTTATAGTTTCTTTTTCATGTAGAACAGTGGTTCTCAGTCCAGATTAAAGAACAAAGGGAAACATAAAAAATACTGATTCTTGAGCTCCCCTTGTGGAGATCCTGATTCATTTAGTCTAGAGCTGGACCCAAGTGTTGGTGTTTCATAAAAGCTCCTGGTGTGATTCTAATGTGCACCAGAGATGAGAGCTGATGTGAAACATAAGGAGCGTGGCTTCTGGATGAGGGCAGATACTGTGTCATTTATGTGGTGTACTGCTGCAGTGGTTTTTTGTTTGCTTTTTACATAAAGGATGGTCAGTAAATCTGACCTAAACTCCAAGGCAGTTAAATCAGAATTCATGGGGCATTTTTAAAAAGCTCATCAAATGATTCTATTATGCAGTTATGGTTGAGAAACGCTTGAACTAAACTGATATGAGCTAGGATAGTAAAGCCAAAGTTAAAATACCAATGAGAAAGTTAGTTATAAGAATCAGTTTAAGGCAGCGATTCTCAACCTGTGGGTCGCGACCTCTTTGGCGGTCGAACGACCCTTTCACAGGGGTCGCCTAAGACCATCCTGCATATCAGATATTTACATTATGATTCATAACAGTAGCAACATGACAGTTATGACGTAGCAACGCAAGTAATTTTATGGTTGGGTCACAACACGAGGAACTGTATTTAAAGGGCCAGAAGGTTGAGAACCACTGGTTTAAGGGCACTTGATACCTGTTGGACCTCATCTCTGCCTGCCCTATTTTCTAGAACCTGTGTTTTGGTTTTGATTTCCTTCCTTCCCTTCCCCTCCTCTTCGCCCCTTCCCTCCCCTCTTCCTTTTTTGAAGTCTGGATTCATTATCTCAGTTGGATAGCAGTATATACTGTGTGTTTAAAATACTTTCACTTTTTCCTAATGCCTCAAGGTAATGTCTTTTATATGAAACTACCGTACTTTTCTTCTCTTTCTTCCTGTTCTTCACACTTCAGTTTTTTCAGTTCAGTGAGTTTTAGCAGTAGTATATTATGCTCTTCTGAATTGGTGGTTTATTTTTAAATTGCTTTTTACTGGAGGTATATTGGGTTTATTTGAAAATGATATGTGGATGCATTTCTTCTTGTGTAAAATGATCACATCATTTAATAATCTTTGTGGCAACTACTATATGAGCAATGTAATTACAGTTTGAAGATGTTTGAAGATGTAGTTGAAAATGTTTGAAAATAAACCAGTGTGATTTAGCTAATTCTGCTTGGAAATTATACTGTGTCTTGATGTTTTATTAAAATACCTAAATATTCCAGTTATGAACAAAGACTTAGAAAAAAAGCAAAAAACTGTTGTGAAATGCAAAGGTGTTTTTGTTCTGTTGCAGGGGATTATTTATTTCAATCTCAGACAGAGGTCATGTTAGATCAATTGTGGATAACTGGCCAGAAAATCATGTTAAGGTACTAATAGCACAACCTTCCTTTTCACAATGTTATTTCTTTCCTTGTAACTTACCTCTAAATTTCCAAGAACAGTTTTTCATTGTTGCTCTGATTTATTTTGCACTTATATATACATGCAGATTTAGTGCTCTGAGGAGATCATGATAGTAATAGCTACAAAATGGGTAACTGGTATAAACTTAGACTTTGGGAAAGAAATTGGAACTAGTACACAAAGTGAGCTTGCTCACTATCGATACCACTGGTGTCTCCTGCCTTCTCTTTATTTCTTTTCTATTTCAATTAGTATTAATGTTTCCTATTTTATTTAATATTAACCAAGTAATAATACCATATTATTAAAATAACATAAAACCTTTATTTGGTGAGTAATGGGGAGGATTCATTATGCCTTTTTTCTTCTAAATCTAAGGTAGATTTAGATCCTTAAGCAAATATAAAACTCTTAAAGTTTCAAATTTAGCAAATGTATTGGTCAATCTGGCTGCCTTTCATAAAATAATAAAATCTAATGACTTAGATCTTCTGTTAGGTTTTAGTATTTACTACATGCAATACTCTTACTTGCCTTTAGTACCTTTTCTTCACCAAAATAACCTTTGATGAATAATCATTAATTCTAATGATCTAAAGAAAATTTGGTCAGATCATTAAATTCACTATATTATCTTAAAATCTTGTAGGTAGGTATATTTTTTACTCTAGATCTTTTTCTCTTCCATCATTGCTAAGGTTTTTCTTGTTTGGCCTAGATTATTTTGTTGGAGTAGCATGTTGCTTATTTCTAAACTCTAATTTTTCTGTTATGGTTAATCTCTTTACCAGAAGTTTTCTCTTTCCC